GTGCAGAGACAAGTTTAAAAAAACAGGTTTTCAACTGGATCGGTTCCAGCAGAACCTGACTTACACAGAGTCCTGGATATGCTTCCCAATTAATAATGGTCACTGTATCACTGAAAATCGTAGAAGTGCTGGTAACCACAAGGGACCTCTGGAGGCCTCTAGTACAACTTTCTGCTTGAGCCAGCTCTACTACCAACAGCAGACAAGGTGGTATATCTACTGACCTACATGGTGTGAACATTTAGTGACTACCTCCTTGTCCAAGGCACTGGTAGAGCAATAGAGTTGGAAATGAGATCATGATTACCTGTGGTGCTGTCTTCACTCTAGAGTCTCTGTTTCTTTCCCTGGTGATGAATGCTTACAGCTATGGATCAAAATGCCAAGTGATGTTATTACTGTCATGCTATGGAACACAACACTGTGTAAATCTTTCAGGGTCTCAGCTCATCCAGATTACAAAGTCTCAGAAGTAGAAAGCCTTCAAACAGTGTGAGTTGAGGGGTTTTTTTTTTTTTTTTTTGAGAGCTCTACCATGGAAAAATATTTAATTTGTCAAAGTCATAGTGACTTTTAGGCCATGTCCCTTTAGAAATGCTGACCTAACAATAGTACTAATCAGAAAGTATGGCATTTATAGTATCTTAATGGCATGCACCCAAAATAGATTCTAGTTATATCAGCAAGTTGACAAGCTCACAGGGTACAGATAACTCTTGTAATTAATTTCTAAAAGTCACAGGAACTGTAAAGTTGGTGTGGGTGGAATTTACTTTTTATTGAAATAGTAAAGTGCCAGGATCACATTTACCCTGGTATTATTATAGACATACTTGAAGGCAAATTAAATCAGAATCTGGCCTCCAAACTCTGTTAGGATAAAACTGTTAATTTTCCTCTCTTATGTTAATGATGCTGGAGAAGTATGGGCTCTAATTAGAACATGAATAGAGAACACACTGTGACCTGCTGGCTCTTGAGGTCTAGTGAGTGTAACTTTCTGAGGTAGGTTCTTGCTAAATCACTTCCCTTAACTAGGTCACACCACCCACTATGCTAGTACCACGGTAGCACAGTACAGTAATTCCTATAATTAAAGTTGCCCGACATTTCCATGACAAAAGCATGTTCACAGTTTTTTATAGGTTTAACAGGCTTTAATGCTCTGAAGTGAAATTTTCTGTAATGAATATCTGTATCAGAATAAGGGCTTAAATTAAAAATGTAATTATTGTTTTTTAGATAATCACATAATGGGTAATTACTCTCACACCTTTTCAATATTAGTGTTTGGCTCAGTTTGTAGGACATGTCTGCTTTGGGACAGGAACTTAATTCCATAAAAACTGGAGCTAAGTCAGCCACATAGTGTATCCCTGAAAAGTATGGTTCCCGCGTGATTAGAGACATGCTAATGTTTTTGGCTAAATTCTCTGCAAATTGTCTGCACCAAATGTGATCCCGTTCTCCAGGGAAGAGGCACAGACAAGGTCTAGACCCACACATAGACTCAGGCTGCCATTTGGACATCACACAGCTGCCACCACTGGTCTCTAGCCCTGTAAGCTGCCAGTGGACATGCACAAAAGGAAAAAATCTTACAAAGCTGTTCAAAGTCTCAGGCAATGATCAGAGGAGATGATAAAGTCAGCTTTAAGTCAGCTGGGATCAAATAAAAAATGCTGCAGCCTAATGACCAGAGTTTCAGCAGTATTGCCTGGGGCTATTTCTGATTTAGCAGTGTTGGTGTTCTCCATTGGCTCACTATGACAACAGGTATTCAAAGACCTGACCTAAAGGCCTGTCTGGCCAGCTACTTTCTCCTTGCTTTCTGCCCTGCCTGCTCTCAGATCCCAGTACTTGCACTGTTGGGTAGGTGATCTGAGACCTCAGACCTCCTATTCTCTTAGGTGCTTTCTGGATATTTTCTTGGCTGTTGTTAGTTGTCAAAAGTTGCATTTAGTCTCTGAACAGTTCTCTTTAGTCTCTCAGTGCAGCTGCAGCTTTACCCATCATGATGAAAATCCTGTTCATGCGTATAAGACTAACACTCAAAATCTTACACGAAGAGGGCATTAAGGTTGCTCAGCTTTTCACAGTTGCCTTGTGAATAGGATGTTTGATAGACAGTAATGGTAGCCCAGTTCTTTCAAAGTTTTTTCCTCTTCGGGGAGCAGATGCAATGGTGTTCACTGAAGAGTTAACTGTCCAACCTCCCTTTTTAGCCTCCTTACAGAGATTATGCATCTGGCTTTGCATTCAAATACTTTGTATTTAGATTCTGCTCCAAACACAGAATAATTAATTAATATTAATTATTATTAATTTCCTTGAACAATTTTCTCTGCCATGTCTTGGATCCTCTCCAGAATTTAGATGCTTAATCCCCACGGGAATCAATGTGTTCAGCAGCCTTGAAGATCCAGGACTTTTTCTAGACAAACAATAATTTTCCAAATCTCTTTCCCATTCTTAGCTCCAGAAAGGAGAATTTTCTGCTCAGGCCTAACCCAAATGTTTCTGAAGCTTTGCTATATGTCCTCCAGGTATCTGCGGATACCATGGCCAGAGCCCTGCTTTCAGAAACCCTGGGTATGACTTGCTCAGGACCATGTAACACATCAAATAGTGGCAAGTTTATTTAAGCCAGGGAAGGATGGCAGGACCCATCTTGGGTGAAAAGCAACACTCTTAATAGTATTTTTTTCTGCCTTGGTAGCCTGCTGAGTGCAAGATTAAAGAGAGTCTTCTGTTGCTTAAAATGCCCCCCTGAATGCGGATGTGGCCTTCCCTGACCTCCACAACCTTCTGAAGATGATAGAGCATGTCTGCTCAGAGACATCCACCAGCTTTCAGACCCCTCTGACACAGCCCACTGGTTCCATGGACTTGTGTGGGCTGAGAGTTCTCAAGAGATTCTTGACTTGATCCTGTCTCTGCCTGAACCCTGTCTCTAAGCACAGAGGCCTGGGAGACTTCCTTGGTGGAGGGTGAGAAAAAGAAAGCATTTGATGTCCCTTGCAAGTTTCAACTCTACTTGAGCTTTGGCTTTCCTAACACCATCCCTGCATGCTGAAGAAGTATTTCTATAGTCCTCTTTACTAGTCCTTGCTTCCGTCTCCTGTACACATATTCTTTTGTTCATTCACAAGTTCTATGTTTAGCCATGTTTGTCCCCCCACACATCTACTTAATTCCCTGATTGCTGGGACAGACTGCTCTTGTGCTTGGAGGAAGAGGTTCTTAATGAGCTGACAGCTCTCTTGAGCTCCTTTGTCTTTCAGAGCTGCCTCCCACAGAATCGCACCTCACCTATTCCTGAATAACCCAAAGTCAATTCTCTTGAAGGGTCTGTAGTCTGCCATTTGCCTTTCTCATTCCCCTCAGGATCCTGAACGCCACAATTTCATGGTTGCTACAGCCAACGCTACCATTGATTATCACATCCCCAAACAGTCCTTCCTTGGTTATGAGTACCAGATCCAGGAGGGCGTCCAGCTGAACTAGATGGCCTGTCCAGCAAGCGTGCTAAGTATTTGTCCCTAACACCATTTAGAAACCACCTGGATTTCTTGTGCACACCGTGTTGCTGATTCAACAGATAATGCAGCTTGCACTAGTAATCATACAACTCCAAATAGTATTGTTTGATCTACAGAAAAGTTTGACCAAATGCTGACAACAGATATTGATTTAAAGATAGGTATCCTGTATTTTTTAAAATCAGTGCCATTCATTTTTTCTTACTAACTTTTGCCAGTTCTACTGTTGTATTCCTGATGGAAAATTCTCCTAGCAGTTAAACCAGATGGTTTAGATACACGGTACTTGCAAAAGGGATCAGGACCCGGGCCCTCAGATTCTACTCTGCGCTAGCATTATAGCTTGAGGGATGTATTTGAATGATCAAGCACCATGCACGCTGTTCGTACACTGTGTCACCACCTTGAAGCAATCATTAGGGGTAAGACTAAAGTCTGCCTCTGAGCTAGCTGCTGTTGACTCCCTTACTAGTGAGTAAAGACCTAGTCAATGCAGTCAGGGGAGCTTAGGTGTGCTGACCAAAGAAGCCAACAACACATGGGGCACCATCAAGAGAACAAAAGCACCAAAGTGTGGCTATATACAGCACTATACTGTATACAATGTACAGCATCATTCTGTGGCCATATAAAGCCTTGGTTCAGCTACATTTTGAGCAGAGTGTGCAGTTCTGGAAATAGTAGAGTTGGAAGTCACAGAGAATAGCAAATATTGATCTTTGGGATGGAGCAGGAGCCTTCCATAAACTGAAAGTGTTCAAATTCTTCTGCCTGGAGAAAAGGCTAGGAAAGGTATGGTCAAGGCCTATCCAGTCACAGAATAGTTAGCTGAATGGAGAATTACTGTCTGGTAAATCCCACAAGACTGTAACTGCGAGGCAGTAATGAAAGCAGTAAACGGGAATCGAGTATCCATTTAACTCATGGAGTGAAATTCTGGGTCCTGCAGCCATGGGAGGCTATAGAGGCAGTCCAGAGGGCAGGGCCAAGCAGGGAACAGAAAGATCCGTGGGCAGCCGGTCTCAAAGGCCCCAGTCCGATGAGTCCGGCTGCTAGGGGCCTGCCCGGGGAGCGGGCCGCAGAGAGCGATCGATCGGGCTCACGGGGGGTCCCCATAACCCGCCGCCGCAGGCAGACCGCAGCCAGGCTACCCGCTCGAGCCGAGCCCGGCCCAGCCGGCACCGCAGAGACCTCGGGCTCAGCCGGTCCACCCTGCCGAGCTGGAGACGGCA